TTAGGCATCAGTTTGATCCTGCCATAATCCAGTGCCAGGGAAGAAGCCTCAGCCTCTGACCTGACAGACCCCTCTGGGATTCCATCCTTCCATCCCTGTTTCTGATAAACAGGAGATTACAGTCCCATAATACCAGAACCACATGGAAACCTCACATCAGTACAATAGTGACTGTGAAGCCCTTAAGAGGAAAAAAGAAATTATTCCAGCAAAATCCATGAATCCATGGAGGTCTGTGGGTGAGCAGGCTGCTACAGCAGCTCCATGCCATACTCCCTAGGGAAGGAAAAACATTCCCAGTTTCTTTCTGCATCTGCACCCAGGTCTGCCAGGCTGCTCTCCTTTATATCTGCTGGAGCAAGGCCTGCTCTCAGCAGCAGGGATGAGGTTTGGAATGAGTACTGGGATACTCTGCCAGCCAGGAGAGAAGCAAAGTGGCAGCCTTTGGGGCAAGTCAAACCTTCCCCTAGTGCTCAAGGGAGCTTTTTTCATTTAAAACCCACACAAAATGGGTGCTGGCAAGAAGGCTTGGTTACAGACACATGTGGCATCCTTTAACAGGGAAGGGGAGCACGTCAGGAATTGTTATTTTCCAAGATTTACTTGGAAGAAGAGGTTGCACCTTCTCACCTCCTCTGCGTCCTGCAGCAGCCCACGTTCACTCTCGTGACCTCACATTGTAACTGCCTTCACTTTCCTCTGGAAGCACCTAACAAAACAGTATAACTTCCATACAGGGAATGTTCCTCCTTGCTTTGAGATCCCACAGAAATCTGTAGGTTGACTGGGCTTTTGCATTCTGATAATTTCTGATCCATTTGCCCAAATACCTATGACTGAAGAATAGCAAATCTGGAGCTCTGCCTGAAGGCTCGAGGGGTTTCTTGTTTAGTTGAGAGTTGAATTGACTGGATTGCAACAAATCATGTCAGGTCTTTGGGAAACTCTTGGCATAAACAGAAAAAAATCAGACAGTGTTTGTAACAACTCTGGTTTTACATTTCAAACCTGCAGCTACGCTGAATGAAAGCAAACGTGTCACTTAATGCCAGGCAAATATCCATCATTATTCTTAGCCAAAGAAATGCATGAATACTGTGGATTCATCCAAGTTATGGAGCCAGGGTTGTTGGAATCTCCTCTCAGTTCTGCCAATACACTCTATGGCCTTGGAAGAGGTAAAGAGTGAAAGAGATGAAAAACCTTGACTGACTTTACTGTCCCTTAGTTTGTCTGTTCAGAAAGGGAGGTTGCTTTTTATTCAGTACATAAAACATCATCATTCACAGTAACAGAACTAAAAGCTCTTTAAATTGCTTTGGGTTAATTTTCTACGAGCAGAGAGGGGATTAATCAGTAGTGGATATCGATCCAGTGGGAAAAAAATAAAAGGAATAAACCGGGAATATTGTGGAGACAGTTATATACAACAGAAACCTGCCATACTTTACACTAGTTTGGCTAAATCTGCCCCCCCAAAAAATCTGAACAAAGATACATTTTGGTTTCTCTCAGATCAATCAGGAACAGATTGAATTGACGAAAATTAACCCTCCTGTTGAAAACACAGCAGTGCTGTGAGCAGACAGGACTGGGAGAAGCCACATGGACACCTTTCTTCGAGCCTTGTAATATGTTTTTTTGCGGGCTAAAGCTTCTTCGCCTCTTCAATTCTTAACTCTCTTCCTAAATCCAGAAGGAACACACTGAGAACAATTCCCATCACCTGTGTCATTACTGAGGCTTAAGAAGCAAAGAGGATAAATAATTTCTTAATTAGAAGTGGAGGGGGATGGGATGGGGCATCATTAGGCAAACAAAGCCCATCCCGAGCACAATGGGTGCTAAGCAGGCTCTTAGTCTCTCCTAAGTGCTTCTGCTTTAGCTTGAACCAGGAAAAGCAGTTTAGGGGAGAGAAAAAAGGGATTTAGCCTGAACATATCCCATCTAGCTAAAGATGCGCTAAACTCAGTAGCAAGGCCTCCGCAAATTAGTAAAGGGGCAGAATTTACGTAAAAACTGCTTTTTCCTCAGGCCCCACACGAGTTGATCCGGGTTTAATGCTAATTGAGACAGAGGTAATCCCAGTTTACAGAGGGGCTTGGTGGAAGATGTTAAAGCAAATGCTTCTTAGAAAAACGTCTGTGCAGCCCATGGAGTGCAACAAATCGATTCGTTCTTGTTTTCTCTGGCAGTTTCGAAAAGAAATGTTGAACCTTTGAAATACTTGACCTAGCTTTGTTGCCTCACACATTAGTTTGAGCTGTACAGAAAATACTGTGGCAGGGATCCAGAAGATCCTGTTGTTCCCGGTACTTTGCCAGTGAGCAGCTGCTCTGCTAAACCCCTTTAAAAAAAACCCCTTTTCTGAGGGTTTTTTGGTCTCAGTTTTCCAGTTGGGGTATAGATGAGGGAGAGGAAGTGCTGACTCCAAACATTCTGCTAATCCTCACCAGAGAGTAATTAAGGCGGCACTCATAGAACCATTTAGCTTTCCCATTCCTTACTTCTGATTAACTCTTTTCCTTTTCCTTCCCTAGGGTTGATCCTCTTGACCCTTTTCTGGTTTGTGGTATTAGCAAGGCTCTGTCTGGTTTCTTATTTAATTTAAACCCTTATCCTGCAGGTGCCTCCTGGAGAGTTTTCCATCTCTGTTGGAGCTCACAAGAGCTCTGTGACACCACAGACCTGGGCTTAAGTGGCTGTCAGGTCACATATTCCTTTACCTTCTAGTTCAGAAAATCTACAGTAGATAATAATCATATTTATTAAAGGATAGAGTTGCTGATAAACCCACCTGTTCTCCATTTCTACTGCCTGAGTCTACCAAGCATAAAATATACCTTCCTAAAAACATATATATGATGGGAGTTGTATTTTCCAGAATAAAGAGCCTCAGGAAAGATTTTGTCCATTTATCTCTGAACTGACGTGAGTTTTTCTCACGATGTACTATCAAAATTTGCCATTTAATGAGATAAATTCTCCACTCAGCTACAGATTTTCCTAAGCCAGCTGCAAACAAATTTCTTTATAGAAAGGGTATAATTTTTGAAGTGCTTTCAGCAATACAAGGTTAAAACTTTACTTGAAAACCCAGCATTCCAGGTGCTGTCCTGTGTGTTGGCAGTTCTCCATAAATCCCAGTGTCTTCCACTGATTGTGCCAAGGACAACGCTTGGAGGTTCATATCTTTGGAAATTATTATTTTTCAGGACTAAAACAAGTGAACAATGTGAGTCAGTATTTTGGGGAAGCTCTTATTTTTAGGGTGTTACATTTTCAGGCTTATATTTTCATTCCAAGTTTAAGAGGAACTGACCAAGCAAACTGAAAATCACAGCCATGGGTCAGGTGAATTGTGAAATTTCTGATTCACCTCCAGGAAAGAGTCAGGGAGTTATCAAATATATCCCCTTGCCCCTATAAACCAGGGCACTCAGTATGAGCATTCCTGGAGGACATTCTGCTCACCACAATTCACATGGAACATTCTGAAGTCAAATATCCATGGCCCTTGTCCGTTGGGTTCCATCTTTGGGAAGGACAATACAATAAAAAATCAAAACCAGTGGGTTTGGACTCATTTTTTATATACTACAAATGCTACTTGGTAAGTACTAATTCAGTTTAGAGCATGGAGTACATGGCAGGTGTGGTGGTGAAAGAGGAACACATTATACACTGCACAGTCTGCAAGAATCCAGAGAAATGCTTGTGATTTTTAGATCTTTGTTTGTTTGTTTGTTTTAGCACCAGTCTAATGATACACCTGCCCAAAGGGTTTAAAAACCCGATTAATAAAAGGAACAATTGTGTTTTCTCCTACTACACTATTATAAGTGTCAAGACAGTTTCTGTGCTGGATTGCACAACAGAAAAGAGAGGAAATAAAAATGGAATTTACAAGTTTTGCAGGAGTAATAGAGAGAGCAGGCAAAAAAAGTGCATGAAATGTAATGTATACATTTCTTCATAACTACATAGTCTCTGTTAATCTTGATAGACACAACTTGACCAACCTGTTACTTTCCCATAACTCAGTAAAATACACTTAAATCAGTGCAAGGCCATGCATTTGTTTATACAAAGTCTACTAACTTACAAGAGATGTCTCCAAACCCCTTTACGGTTTTAAACCATATTATTAACCATATTACTACTAACCAGTTGGCTGCTTAATAGACAGCACTAAGAGGGGAAAGGCTCCTGACAGATTTTTAAGCCTCGGCCCCTGCTCCTGCTGGTAACACCCGTGGAGTCCTTTCAACCTCCCTTCCCAATCTAATCCCTCAGGATCCAGGGCTTGGAGGAGGTGTTAAAACACTCCAGCAGCGAGGAGGATATTTTAACAACTTCTTCCTCTCAGTGTCCTGCTGGGAAGAAGATGGCTCAGCCATCCTGCATCCCAACAAGAAGCCAAAGCAGGCTGGAATTTAATTTGTTCTTACCTTCCCCTTTAATTCTTCAGCCATTGGAAGTGTCCAGTTATGTAAAGAAGGAAAAAACAACACCACTAAGCCACTGGAAGAGAGGAATCAACACATACACTGTTTTATTATCTTCATGTAGCATCTGTACAAAATGTAAATATCACTGAAATTTGGGCTAAAAGTTGCTCCTTTAGCAGCACAGCTTGCCTGAGGGTCCAGCGGGGGCAGCCCAGCCACAGGCAGTGTTTTACCATCAATTGACTGGTCCAAGCGTACAGGTTAAGCACAGTCCTCCTGTGCTGTGCAGGCCCTTGGGTGTCCACAATTAATAATTCCACTAAGGCACCTCCCTGTCCTCAGCTGCAGGAATTGAAACCAAGTCCTCTGACATGTCCCCCAAGAGCATGAAATGATCAGGGGAGGGTGGGACTCAGTTTTGGAGCTCCAGTTGTTCCCTGAGCAGGTATGCAGGGCTCAGAATCTTCCCTTTTTCAGCAGCATTAAAATAATACAAGTGAAAAACACCAAGAAGCTAAAATAAGTTCTGAAATGGTACCTTCAGAGCTGTAAAAAGCCAAAATTGATGCACTTCCTAGTAGCACCAAATATTTCCAAGTCCTCAATTCAGTCCCAAAGTAGTCGTGAGGCAGATGCAGGTGGGTGGTGTGAGTGGCAGTCAGACATGAACTGCTGAGAACATCCCTGGCTTACCCTGTGCCACTCCAAGAGCTGCCTCAGCACCATGTCCATGAATTGTTCTTTTAAGGAATGGTGCTGGAGCCAGGACTGACATGTGATCCCTTGGGATCCCGTGGAGAGCACGGGAAGGGTGTGAGAGCTGTGCACTGGTGCATGGAGGGGAGAAGAACCGAGGGTTTTGAGCCAGCCCGAGGACAGGGACGGGTGGAGGCAGAGCCGTGCAGATGCTGCTTGGAGGGGCGCTGCCCAGGGAGCCCCTGAGGGCAGAGCTGGGGAGGCCAGAAGGAACGTCAGGCTCTAGTAGCCAAGTCTGGCCGGGTGCAAGCCCACTTTGCTGCCCCTCAGCTCGGGATTTGAAGCATTTGCAGCAGCAAATTCCAACGCAGGCGCCGCCAACAACAAATGCCACGAAGACGGAGCCGACGAGGAGGAAAGGCAGGTACACGGGCACTGCAATCGCAAAGAGGCATTAGGAACAATCATCCACGGGCATTCCAGGGTATACTCTGCTCTCATTCCTTGCACCAGGGGTAGCTCAGAGTGGTTTCACTCTCGACTCTTTTGCTGCAGCAGGATCAGACACTGGGAATTGTTACAGCAGGTCACTTGAGAAAGCTCAAAATGCAGAGGGTCAATCCTATAACCCCGGCCGTTAATCCGTGCAAGAGCTCTTCCAGAACTCAGGTGACACAGCTGCTGGTCACTCGTGTGTGATAAAGTAGAAATTAGCCGAGTTTTACAGTTAGTACTTAAACTGGGATTGCATTGCCTGCACAGTTTGGGTTTGAGGGATACAAGCCAGAACTGAAGTTAAATATGTTACTTAGAGCACATGCATTAATAGAATCATCCAGAATCACGGAATCAACTAGGTTGGAAAAGAATTCTGAGATCATCGAGTCCAACCCATAATAGGTCAGCAACAGGTTCCACGGGGATATGAACACCAGAGGTGTTCGCAGGGTACTCTGTTAGTAGTTTAGAGGGTTTTCTAGGAGCAGGACTGACAGAAAAGCCTTCTGAGTGAACCCCCCAGGTATTCCCTGTTCCCAGCGAAGGGTGCCAGCGCTCCAACCCTTTCTGCCGCGGAGGTGACAGCTTGGAGCTGCGGGGACAAAGAAAAGAAGGGGCCCGGCCGATGCCACCAAGGGAAAGTGGCACAAAGCTCACCTGGCACAGGGGTCCTGGGGCTGGGCAGGGGCTCCCCGGGGCATCTGCCCTGGTCCAGGCGGCTCTCGGGGGCCGAGCAGCAGTAGCGGAGGCTGCAGGAGCCGCAGCACAGCGTGGCCAGGGGGCCGTCCGAGCGCTCGGGGCACTGGAAGCCGCGGTGCCAGCGCTGGGCACCCCCCGACCAGCCGTGGCAATACTCCCCCGCCTGGCCCAGGGCGCAGCCCAGCGCCAGCAGCAGGGCACAGAGCACACCCCGAGCCATGCTGGGCACTGCGCAACAAGCTGCCCCTTCTTCCCCCTCCTTTTGGGCACTGCCTGAGTTCCCGCTCCAGGAGGTTTTATCTCCCCCCGGGACCTGCCCCTAATCCCCTCTTTGCAGCGACAAAGGAGGACCCACTAATTAAAAACCATTTGCGGCTCCTCCACCTCCACCTTCCTCATTTCCCTCCCTCATTCCCGAAGGGAGCAGGTTCCTGCTGGGAATGGCACAGTGGTTGGGTACTGTCAGCAGCAGAGAACCGGGATACGGAAAGTCCAGGGTTATCCTGGTACCAAAACATGGAAAGCCCAGGGATATCCTGGTACTTCATGGAAAGCCCAGGGTTATCTTGGTACCAAAACTTCATTCCTTCAGGATCTCATCAGTAGCCGAAGTGTCAGAGGAGGGAGACTGGGGACAACACACGGTCACAAGTGAGAAATAAAATTTCTGGAGTAGAAAGAAAATCCAGGGATAACCAGCTTCCAGCAGGCTCTGAGGTGTAGCTGGTTCAAACCGGTATCAAGATAATTTTTACCTGTTTAACATGGATAATGAATTACATGGATATAAAGCAGATTTTAATCCAAAAACGTAGGAAAAAATCATCTTGGAAGCTTTAAGCTGGTCTAGTTTCTGTCTTTGGAGTTGGAAATTCCAAAGGCTCTTTTGCACTTTTGCTTTCCCTACACATAGTGCAATCCATGAGTGCCAGGGAAAAAAATGTCTGTTTTGAGCTCTCCAGAAGTTTCATCTACACGGGAAAATCCTACAGCGTTACAAAGACCCTGCAGCAGCCCGGGAGTGGCAGTGACTTTTTCAGCTTTGAACTGAAAATAAAACCAGACCACTTGGGGTCTTTCTTAGTCCTCTCCCAACTGTGTGTTAATAGGATCCATGTCGGGAGGCTTGAAGATTCCAAAACATATTTAATGTGCACAAAAGCTGGTCCCATACAATTTTTAGGAGTGATGCCAGTGGCTGTAGAGGGAAGCTGTCCAGTGATCCGAATTTTAGAAACATTTGTGCAGAATTATCTCCCTTCTGCTGATTTTTGGTTTAATATTTGAGAACAGCTTGCACATTTATGCTTTATTAACGATTTTGGAGGTTCAGTTGAGTCATAAATCAACATGCCAACAACATTAGTCTCATCACCTTTGCCAGTCGCTCACCTCTCATGCCTCATTTTTAATTGGCTTTTTGGCAAACATGGGTAAAGAGATCCCTGGATTCAGAATTGTTAAGTGAAATCTCTGTTTAGGACCAGAGACCTTTCCAAATTGGCACGTGCATTTGCCCTGCTGCATTTCAGCCCTGCAAGTGTAAGGTTGGCTGAGTGCGTGGGACCTAATCCTATAAATCCATGGGAATGATCCAGAAAATCCTGAGCAACCTTCCCAGACAGCCAGGGGTGAGTGACACTTCAAGTCCAAAGCTGAATTTGCCTTAAGGTAAATTCTAGTTTACTCACAGGCTCAACCTCAGCACTATTAAGCCCAGACTAAATATTAACTTGAATTCTTTGTTTTTATGAGGAAAAGCAGCCTCAGCTGGGCTTTACCAAGTGCTCAGCACTGTGCAGAGTTCAGCAGGAGCAAATGTGCCTCAGGAAAGAGAAGGGATGCAATTATTTCCTCCCATCTTGCAGGTTAAAAGAGTATAAAAACCCTGCTAAATCAGGGATTCAAATGCAAAGATTCCTGGAGGGGTTCCTTGCGTTAACAATTAACACTTTCCTGGCTGCCCTTACCGATTTCCTCTCTCTGCACACACGTCTTTAACAACATGGATTATTTTGGGACTCCACCACCTCACTTTGCAGGTACAAACTCTTGGAAACCAACCGGAGAGTTCCTGTTCAGGGTCAGAATGTGTGGGTGTGTTTTTATGTGAGGAGGGGTTTTTTTGTGTGTGTGTGTGTGGTTTTGGGGGGTATTTTTTTCCCTAATTCAAAATCTTTCATCTGCATTTTGCCGTGGGCTGTTGTGTGCTGTGATGTTCCCTTAACCACTGCAAAACCAGACATAGAATCGTGTATGAAATTGTATACGCTTATATTTAATTGTGTATAAAATCAATATATAACAACATACTTACGTAACTTGTGACCCACTTGGAATTTTGACAGGATCAAAAGGGACACGTGGATATCTTGGGATGCTGGTTGTGAACAACGAGGTTAAATCATGAATCATTTTCTCCTCTCATTCCTTCTGTTCATCTTAGTCTTCCAGCTGCCGGCGGGGTGGGGGGTGTGTGTGTGAAATTTTGCAAGCCCGTTCTTTGCCAGCTTCGGGGAGGTTTTAAACCAAAGCAGTCCAGGCTTTTTTTGCATGACAGGACAGTGGTGATGGTTTCCCATTATTAACAACAACAAACAACCCTGTTACCTTTTCCTGCAGCCAACACAGCTGGAGCTCCGAATTTACGAGTTACCATGGAAATAGCCCTTAGAGAGAAGTCTTTATTTTCAGTGTGAGGGTTGTTTCTCTTATTTACGGAAATGCACATTCCCCCTCGTCGATTTTATGTAGGGAGCTGATTAAAAATTCCTGTTATTCTAAAAGCACAAACTGGAAACTTCCCGGTTTGTAGCTGCGGTACCAGTGCCCAGAATCATGATTTTACAATGGAATTGTAGGATTGAGGGAGGCTTGAGGTGAAGAGAGAGTCAGACCTGTCTGAGCAGGGAAATAAGAAATAAGGCGGGGGGGAGGGCTTGGCCTCCTCAGCAAAGAGAACAGGACAGAGATGGCTCATTCCATGGATTTAACACCATTAGTCCTTTTGGGAGCATTATTTTGTGGCTGAGCCGGCAATATCCAACAGACTTCAGTATAATGCAGGTCTTGAATGTTCCCTGAGTGAGACTTTGACTTCGCTCCTGGTGATTTGTCCTCTGCTCTCAACTCCAGCTCTGTTTTTCTCCTGCCTCAAGACCCAGCCTCATTTCTGCACTTTCCCACCCCAGGTATTTTGAGGAGGAAATTCCATGTTCCTGTGTTCCCTGCTGGGCTCTCCCCTCTGGAATGAGCCCCTTCTTGCTGTCAAAAAAGGCTGCCCAGCCCAATGACCCCCCTCCCCTAAGGACCCCAACCACCTATTCCAAGTGGGAAAGGGGAAGGCAGAGCTCATTGAGATGGTGATTTCCAGAGGGTGCTTTGGGAGTGGCTGTTCTGCCTGAGTGCTCCTGGTTGTTCAAATATTGTTCAGATACGATAAGTCTGATTTTCAGGAGAGGAGTCCTCATGGCTTCTGTGTGAGGATCAGGTGAGCTCAGTCCATGTAAAGCTCAGGTGAGCTCTACCTGTGTAAGGATCAGGATGAGCTCTATGTAAAGCTCAGGTGAGCTCAGCCCATGTAAAGCTCAGGTGAGCTCTACCTGTGTAAGGATCAGGATGAGCTCTATGTAAAGCTCAGGTGAGCTCAGCCCATGTAAAGCTCAGGTGAGCTCTACCTGTGTAAGGATCAGGATGAGCTCTATGTAAAGCTCAGGTGAGCTCAGCCCATGTAAAGCTCAGGTGAGCTCGGTCCATATAAAGCTCAGGTGAGCTCTACATGTGTAAGGATCAGGATGAGCTCTATGTAAAGCTCAGGTGAGCTCCATCTCTGTAAAGCTCAGGCAAGCTCAGTCCATATAAAGCTCAGGCCCAGGTGGTGCCAAAAAAAGCTGCAACTGCAGGTGGAACCCAAGAATCCAATGCAGTAAGAGCTGAACCAAACCTTCGTTCCATCTCGAATCACAAAGTGTTCGGACTTCAAGCCAGTCTGGAGATTTTTTTTAGTTCGTTAGTTGTGAGTTTTTCTTTCTTTTTTGAGATGCAGCTGCTTCAGAGTTTAAAGGATTAGAAGCCTGGATTGCTGGAATCTCACAGGAAAACCTGCTTTGAAAATCTCCAGCTCTGAACTGGATGAGTCTCTGACCCTTGGGCTCTTACTATTATTTTTTGTTTAATTTTTATGCAGCAGGCAAGTGTAAAACAGTTCTATCAGAGACTTGGCATTTACACCTGAACTGAAGTCACTGAGAAGGACCAGGACAGCTCAAATCCTGCTTCATCAGCCTAACTCCAGATGTTTGCAGCATCTGGGCTCACCAGAGCATGGTCAGGGTATCTCTTAGGCTGGGGAATAGCGAGTTAATTTTTATTTCTCTGTGTGTGTATTACCTGTTGGACAAGAAAAGTGTGCAAGGTGCTGCATCAAATAATACAGAAAATAATATAGAAATAATTCCTGCCCTGCCAATAGACTCCATGGAGATGTACAATGGAACAGTAGGACTGGATCAGCCCTGAGGTCAACTTGTTGTGAGCTACAGCTCCTTGGAGGAGGATCTATGAGCAGTTACAAAGACCTTCTCTCAATCAGAGCGACAGAAGGCTCAAAAAAACCCAGTTTCACTGAAGTTTGAACAAGCTGGAGGTTTTTCTATGCTCTGGCAGGGAACTGGAATGAACATTTTCAGAGCAACTGAGAGGTGGTAGAAAAGGTGAAGAGCAGCCATGAAGATTTTGGAAACTGGTTGAGGAAAAGGCTGTGGAGGTGCTGAAAATAAAGAAAAGAAACTTCTGTTTGATAGGAGAGAGAATAAGGAGTCAGGAGGGAAGGCTCAGAGAGAGGGGAGAACAGACAGAATGGGGTTATATTTATCAAGGTGGTAACCATAACAATATGTTGAAAGTCTGGCAGTGCTTCCCCTAAGAACACTTGAAACACTGAAAATGAAGACAAGAAAATTACCAGATAATTTCATGCAGGAACATATCCTTCACAGTTCTCTTAAGCAAAGAAGATGGGATAAGCTTGGCCAAATCCCTTGCCTTTTTTAAACTTCCAGAGGAGCAAAGCAAAGAAGCAGAGGGAGGGTTGGGACCCAAGTTTCAGATCTCGGTGAGTCCCAGGGAAAGGCAGATGGACACACGGAAAACATGCAAACCAGCAAAGAGAAAGTCTTCCAAAAGTGCTCTGTCACCAAAGGGTTTTCAGCTGCCAGTGTG